ACAACTTAGAATGGCAAACAAGCTGACGACCTACCTGATGGAAAGTAGTAACTGTCGCCTATAGACATGAGCAGTATCATGAACATAACAGAGAATACCGTTTCGCCCATGATACCCCCCCCCCCATGCGTTGCAATTCCTGAGGGTTAAGATGGTATTCCTCTGTACCTTGTAATTTCACTGCCATATCCCACCCTTCAAACTGAAACATAGCCATGCAAACACAACTGTTTTACGGTTGAAACACGAATAGGACAGAAGTACCCAAATTAAAACATTTTTATACAGTCTCCCTCTGGTATTTGGGATAAAGAAGAACATGGGCTTCTTTTTAGTCCGCTTAGTGAACATTTCACGGTCACGACGAAGTCGCAGGTAAAAGCTAGTTAAATATAACATAATACGTAATTAATGTTTAACATAATAGCCTTATCTCATGTTACCTAGTGCTTTTATTTATTGAATGATAACTATGTGATAGGGAGTTCCCTCGCTCCGTTTACATGACCTGTGAACTGCGTATCAATGTGATTATTATATCATAATTGTGATGATTGCAAAAATATAATTAGCTAATTATTGCTATGTATCGTTCAAGCATGGTCGCCGTGTGGTCCCGGCATAGAATGAGCCACCCCTTTCTTCCCCGTGGGTATCGTAAGAGGCGATTAAGAGATGGGCTGCTGCTCTGTTAAAATATCACCAAAACATAACTGCGGTTGCCAACCCATCTGTCAAGAGTGGCAACTACTAGCAAAATCTAATGGGGGAAATCTATGTTCAGAAGTGGACAGTTAACGACCGATATGATGACGATCATTTATGAAAAAATAAAGAAATTTATTATAAAATTAATTATTTTTATTATTCCTATTTATTCATTATTATTTATTTTATTACGACCTTATTGGCACCAATCATCATGAAATTGATCACGAATATATAGATACACACATGGTATTTTAAATAAAGAACGGCATAGACTACTCTGTAAATGGATGATAATTAAATAGTAACCCCGTTTAGGTTAAATATCTATTAATGCTAGCTTGACGTTCGCGGGAAACCAGTGAAGAATGAAAGCAAATCAGTTGACCAATTCATCATCTCAGCTATTATCTGTCCACTATCGAACATATCATCATCTCAGCCAATTGTGGTGAATTAATAAAAAAAGAAAGTATTGTGGATTTTTGAAAGAACCGCGTTGAGGTTGACCTGTGATGTAAACAGCAGAATGCAGTAATAAAACGTATATGTATTTGTAATATAATCTATTCTCAATTTTATAAAAAAAGAGATATATTTTATAAGAAGCTGTCACAAAACAAATTTAAAAAAACAATACGTGTTCTAAAAAACGTCAGAATCAACAGCCAGTTAACTTTTTTCTCGAATGTTTCAATTTTTTTTTTTTTTACAACACAGGGGGCAAACGAGCATGCGGCTCACCTGATGGTAAGTGACTACCGCCGCCCATGATCACCCACAACACCAGCGGCTTTGCAGGTGTGCTGCCGGCCTTTTAAAAAGGAATATACTCTTTTCTTGAATGTTGCATCTGTTCGGAAATACTGTTGCTCGGATTTCGTTCCATAGTTTAGTTGTGTGTGAAAGAAAAAACATAACACTATGTTTCGGGCATAGACTATTTTTCGGTTACGTGGACAAAGTTACAGGTGAAAATTTGTGTATTTATATAAAATAATTTCATGCTACACAATGTTTTTCTGGGTAAGTAGTTCAGTTTAATTAACACATATTACGATGCGGTTCCGGGTTGGACCACACTACGCAACTAATTCTGTCTACTAATCAGTAGCCTCTGATTAACGTGGGTGATGTAGTTAATTAAACTTAGTTTTATTACTTTTGAAATAATAACATACCCACAATTAAATGAATTAAATGAAATGACGTCTCCTTTGCTTTTGTAATAATCATAATTCGTATACGTGGCCCCAGTACGTAACTAGTCTGACCATAAATACTGTTACATAAAAACTTTTGTTTCTTTCAATTTTTTAATTATTTTGAATATGGAACACGTTTATTATTTTAAAAACTTGTTTCGATTTCGCGCCATTTCACATATTTTTTTCGTATTCATTATCAAATTACAATATGGAATGTGGTGTTAAAGAAAATAGGATTGCAGTGATCGCCTTCCATAAAGTGGGTATCGAGTCGAACATTTAGTTAGCTTTTGTTGAAATTAGACTTTAACTAGTGTAATGAATTTGAGATAAAAAATTAATAAGTCTAATAAGATGTAATATGTGAAAAATTATAAAAAATTCTGTAATAGGGATGCACTAAGGTACTAAGTGGAGTGTACGTTCTTTAAAATATCCTATTATAACTATAAATTTGTATGTATAGGTATGTTTAACATTATTTTGAGGGTTTTTTTTTTTATTTCGAGTGAACACTCGAATCGTGCTAGGTTTGTTTCAAATTGTTTCGGATTTTGGGTTTACTGTTTTCAGTTTCAAATTGCTTCGCATAGTGCAATCCCTTGATAGTGTCGGATTGGTACGTATAACGTTCCTGCAGCTGGAACGCTTTCATTACTTATGAATCATATACCTATTGCGAGCTTTTGTAATTTACTGAAATATTAAATACAAAGCACACTACAAGATATAATTTGAAGATATTTTGTATTTTTAGTTGATGTCATGTCATGTGCTGTTATTTATTTATTCATTAAACATAATTCTAACATTATGACAGCAAAAGCCAAATACATGTTATAAACCTAGTGTGCTAACATACAAAATTATAATAAAGGTATTAAAGCCGACAGCGACAGCCAGATATTGCTCAGCCGTTTCTAATATCTCTATCTATCTGAAATGCGTGAGTTAAGGGTGGTTTTTTTATGGGTAAAAATGGTATTTTAAACTTTACTGTACAGTTATATTTTTTTATGCAACTTAGAATGACAAACAAGCTGACGGCCCACCTGATGGAAAGTGGTAACCATCGCCTGCAGACATAAGCAGTACCATGGGCATGAATGTACTGTTTCGCCTATAATACCACCCCATGCGTTGCCATTTCTGAGGATTCAGGTGTTATTCCTCTGTACCCAGTAAATTCACTGCTATGCTAGTACTGCTATATATATATATATATATATATAGTGTGTTGAGACGGTCTTTAATTAACCAACTTTTTATAATATAACCATGTTATCATGTAATTGAAGTAGATATAAATGTATGTTTTATTGGTTACACTTAAATAAATAAATACAATAAAGTGTTATAAACAAACATACAAAGTTACAGACAAAAACTAAACAAATTTATATTCATTTTTACTTATCTCCAAACAGTTTTGGGGAATCTTGCTTTTAAACAACAATGCAATTACACTTTGTACAGGCGCTATTTGTTTTCGGATTAACATATACACATATAGTTTTAACTTTAATTGTCTCGCAATGTCATAAACACTTTTGTTATGCAAGATGGCAAATAAACTAGTGGTCTATCTGTTGTAAAGTCGTAATCGTCGTCTATAGTCATAAATAGCACCTTTAACATCACAGAATATACTGTAATACCTCATGTGTTGCCATTTTTGAAGAATAATTACGCTTGATTAAGATATATTATTTTCTTAGTGTAATATTTCCTTGTAATTATTTGTATTTATAATAAGGTTACTATTATTATTTTATTGTATTATTTAATATTATATTGTAATCTTATATATACCAGAGGGAGACCTTGTACAAAAGTCGTTTGCTTGGGCACCTCTGTCCCACTCGTATTTTTACCGTGAAGGAATTGTATTTGCATGGCTGTGTTTCGCTTTAAAGGTGACAGTGAATTTACTTAGAGCGTACAGAGGAATAACATCCGAGTCCTCAGGAATGGCAACGCATGGGGGGTATCATGGGCGAAATAATATACACTGTTATGTCCATGGTCTCATGTCTATAGGTTACTACTCTTCATCAAGTGGGCCATCAGCTTGTTTATCATTGTAAGTAGCATAAAAAAAATTAGAGAAAACAATAAAGAGTATCTATCTATGCTTATATATGAGGTAATTTAATTTTATGTAATTTGCAATTACTTTTATTGAAATTATTTTTTTTATTTTGATTTATTTAATAATCTTAAATATAAATAAGAATTAATATTAAATTGTTTTATTTTAATTTCATTCAACAATCAATAAAATTAGTCAATATTTTTTTTAAACTTTAATATACAATTATATAAATGTACATAGGGCGGACTTAACACTTTATGGCGTCTTCTACCAGTCAGCCATGAGGCAACGGGAAAATTAAGTAGGCGGTGCATTTACTACTAAAATAAGTACAATGTTACTAACAATGACCACGATCTACATTTAAAAAAACAATAAATATTGAATCTTATCACAGATACTTTTGATATTAATAAATGACACAAAATTACATCAATCACCTCGTCTGCAAGCTAGGATATTTTGTGTTACGAGGAGCCGGGCAATCTGGGGCACAACTCATAACACCTAGACCCAAGCCGAATTTTGAAATGCTCATTTCCTAAATTAACTCGACCGGGTATCGAAGCCAGGATCTCACTCACGCAAAGCAACGTGCTAACCACAGCGCTACACAGATCCTCAATCTATACCCTAAGGTCAAATTCAAGTTTAATCTATAACAAAGTTACAAAGAATCAAAGGATAAAGCCACAAGTCGTCTGAGATAAGGCGGCCGTGAAACTTATATGTATTATAAACTAGTATTTTTCCCGCTACTTCGTACGCCGGTTTATATTTAGAGAAATTGAAAAACTAATTATATTAATTAAATGAAAAATCTTAATACCAACGTAACTATTTACCGAAAAAGATATTTAGTTCTTTTTTTAAAAATATTTGTCAATTAATTTATGAAAAAATACCTACTTATATAATTAAAAATATATATACTTTACCCATTTCAGAGAATTTTACAATTTGTATTTGTAAAAATTAAAAGTCAATGATTATGTAAAATAATTATTTATTTTGATAAATTTAATTTAAGTAATGGCAGTCTCTGACTTATAACTAATAAGTGATAATTTAAGTCTTAAAATCTAAGAAATAAAATCTATTTTCCTTTATATATCGTGGCTGCTTGTCCTACTACTTGTACTGCTGGACCAGCTTTTATGATTCCATCTCTTATATTCTGACCAACGCGCTCCTGAAATAAAATAAAATTAATAAATTATTATTGAAAACAACATTTAGAACAAAAGTAATATATAATAATTAGAGTAGTTGCCACGCTTAGCAGGTGGGTTGGTAACCGTTGTTTGGCCTATTCTATACCGGGACCTATACGGCTCAAATTTAAATATCGCCTACTCTAATTACAAATAATAGTCAGTGAAAGCGATTTAGCAAACAAGCACTCTTTGGCAACTATATACCTACATTATGAATATTATTGTTTTAAACAAAGATATTTTATTTCTAACCTAGACATCACAACGACCATTTTCGTTGGCAACAACCCATGATATGTAAATAATAATACTTGTTACAGGTATTATAAATTTCTAACGAATTCAGATTTTAATACAAAGCCCATAGCAAAAACGCTTGAAACTTTAGAAAGTTTTGTTATGTAACGTTTTGGAATTCATATACTCGTTAATATAATAGAAATGAAATTAATTATTTTTTATCAATTAGCTGTATGCATATAAAAAAATAATGGAAAAGAAAGTATTCTTATTTTCACTACGTAGATAAATAAAAAAAAAAATTAAAAATGTACTTACAATCTTTTTGAAAAACTTCCATTTAGGGCTGGGTGCACCCGAAACCGTTGACAGCGCTACGATGCAGGCAAATACGAAGAAGAAAATTTTAGAGAAATCCATTTTCGAAATTCGATATTTGAAATTTGAATTAAAAATGAACGTTCGAAGAACGATCACGGAACGATGCTGTTGAATGATGATACGTTTAAAAAGCATTACCTTTTTATATACGGCCAGTCTTTGTAGTCAATATATTTATTTGCATTTATTATCAACCTTATTACGTTGCGCATACAACTGAAAATGAGTGTGTTTTGTTGAACACGTATAGATAATAACGGCTAACTGTTTTCTGTACTCCATAGTCTGCTTGGTGCAGGGAACTCCCCAAGCCGGCAACATTTTGCAGAAAATAACTGGAAAAGCTTTGTGATAAAGTGATGAATAAAATTACTCATTTTATAAGGAATAAGGATAATATTTATTAATAACAATTATTTTACATATTATAGTATTAAAAAGTTGATTAATGTTAATTAAATTTTAATAATTTTTTACAAAAAAAAAATATACAATGAAACAGAGAACTTCCTCCTTTTTTGAAGTCGATTAAATAGTAAATGGAATTTTTCTAACAGTAATCATATGTATTATGTGGTGTCCATACTGTTGTTCATATCTATAGACTTTTTCCATCATATGAGCCGTCAGCTTATTTGCTATTTAAAGTATCAAAAAAAAAAAGATAAGATTATAATCTAATGTAATGAATTAAACTACAAACATTTTGGACTACAGATATCTTAAACCGCGGGATATCGTTAGGGTAACAAATAGGATCTATGAAATGATGGTATAAGGCAGGGGGAAGCACAAAAGATCCGTATGGGTCGACGTGCATCGGCTTAGCTGACCCCATATGCGAAAAATAAGATAAGGTATAAGATAAGATAAATTGCAAACTCCAAATTAAGACTATTGAAAGACCAATCGTTAATTTGTTCATTAAAATATTAATTTAAAATACAGGTTTCGAACAGCACTTCAAAATCGATCCTATTGATATCTTGCAGCAAAATATATTAGACTGTAGGCATTAGTAATATGGATATCGATCCGATATCTATATATAAGATTCCTCTGGACATTGATGGTGGAAAAAAGGTCATCATCTATTTCGATATCGCCCATATCGGTCGGATATCTATCTTCGAATATGTTAAAAGTCTGTTATCCAATATTACTTTTTGGATAACAGACTTTTAACATATTCGTTATTGGGCCCGTATATAGATATTGCAACTAAAATATATAGATATTGCTATATATCATGTGCCCCTACTCAAAAGCATGGTGATAGAGTCCTGACAGAAACTTTTCTTTTAATGTTAATTCAACCTTATGACGTTACATTAAGTGCCAAAATTGCATAATATGACGGATATAGATGAATTAACAGTAACTACTATTTAATCTGTGGCATTATTCATCATATACAGATAAGGGAAAAGATGTAATCTGACATAGATAAATAAAATATATGTCTATGATGTTTACGCAATCACCTACAACTTTCAATAAGAATAGGGGAGCTGATGTAACTCATACAAATATACAGAATGAAATAGCATTCGTTAGCATCTATTGAAGAGAGCATTCTATCGGCGAAACTGAACATTTTCACTATATATTCACTATAAAAACATGAGTCGAAATACGATAAAAAATATTGAACCAACCATACAAACACAGTACGTTTAGTTTATTTATTTTTGTAGGGTTACCAATATATTATTGCAATACACTTGCTGAAAAGAACAAAATCTCAACTTCTTTTTCGTGTATCTTACACAAAAAAAAAGTTAATACTGCGACTCAAAATGTTTGGAATAAATAAATAATGTGTTTAAAGCTACAAAATATGACATAAACAAACAAAGGCAGCAACAAGATAATTAAAGATTGTGTACCACAAAAAAATCGCTATCAGTTGTGGCAAAACCCAGTTGTTTTGATTTCAAAATTAGAGTATTGAGTCGAGTTTGATAAAATTTCTATGGAACCAATCTATATAGTAATAGACTTTCAGAGGACAAAAAAAAATTAAACCGGTTTATAACTGACGAAGTAATGAGGTAACAAATAAAAAAAAAATACACCCGAATTGAGAACCCTCTTTTTGAGTTGAAAATATATAACTACCACTAAAAGATAGTGAAGCAAAAGATATTCTTGAAATTTTGAATTTTGAAATTTCTCTAAGTGTATAGATAATATGCACACAGATAGATGCGATATTTAGAGGATCATTGTAATTTTTTACGATATAATTAATTAACAATAAGTATGTAATTAACAGCAGCGTCCATCTTAAAACATCATCAAAGCCTAACTGCGATTGCCAACTTGTCTGCCAAGTGTGACAATTACTGGCAAAATCCTCCTTATAGGGCTGACCAATGTTCAGGGGCGACGACTGATAACTGCCCACTACGTAACTATTTTTTTTTATACAACTTAGAATGGCAAACAAGCTGACGGCCCACCTGATGGAAAGTGGTAACCGTCGCCTATAGACATGAGTAGTACCCTGGGCATAACAGAGTATACTGTTTTGCCCATGATACCCCCCATGCGTTGCCATTCCTGAGGACTCAGGTGTTATTCCTCTATACCCAGTAAATTCACGCCATATCCCACCCTTCAAATCGAAACACAGCCATGCAAACACAACTGCTTCACGGTTGAAACACGAATGGGACAGAGGTACCCAAACAATCGACTTTTGTACAAAGTCTCCCTCTGGTGACTAACAATATTTTTTGCTGTTTTTAAAATTTTTTAACGAAATTTCTGTCCTCATATAGCATAGTAGATTCGTAATTTTACGTACCGCTAATGACTTTGAATTCTTTGCCCTTACCACATACCCGTACGTTGTTTCAAATTTAAAAGGTTTCATACCAAAATCAAAAGTTATAAAGGGATCCTTATTTAAATCGTGATAAATTCACCAAGCATTAACCATGTACTTCCCAGAAGGGAACACGTCAAGTTCGATATGACGAAGTATGTTATAAATTCTGAACTTCGCTCTCTCAAATCCCGTTTTGAATTTAAGAAAGTAAAGTTCAATCAAATATCTTCCAGATCCGAACATATATTTCAGATTAACTTCGTAATTTTCGAGAGGCCGCTTGGTTTTTATGTAATTTTAATGTACTCGGTATCTTATCTTCGTCTTACATCTTACGCGCAAACTCGCTGACTTTCCACCACCCGAATAAGCTAGCTTTCGAAAGGGCTTTAATACCATAGACCACATACATGGGTATGTACGGCAATTTATCCAGAAGACCGAAGGGTATATTCTACCACTATGTCTGGCGTTTGTAGCCTTTGATTCGGTGAAGACATGGGCGGTACTATAGTCCCTCCAGCGGTGCTAGATTGACTATAGGTATATCGAAGCGAAATGTATGTACAGGAAGACTACTATGTCTATCCGTCTATAGAACAAGTATACGAAATACTACCCAGTGAAAGGTGTAAGACAGGGTGACGTTATATCCCCCAAAACTCTTCGCAGCTGCATTGGAAGGTGTTTTTCAAACTTCTAGACTGGAAAAGATATCGTATAAATATGATATGGTGTGAGAATACTTTAAAAATAGTTAGTAAATTTAAATATCTCGAAAATATGTTAACAGAAGATCTGAGAGATGATAGTGATCTGGAGAGACAAAGGCGTAACATTGCATGTAGAAGCAATATGCTATCTAGACGATTTAACCACTGTTCGAAGCTAGTCAAATTGATATTGTTTAAGTCCTATTGTCAGGATTTCTACACCAGTCCATTATGGTATAGTTATACAAAGAGAGCTTATCAGACACTGCGTGTACAATACAATAACGCATTCCGAGCGATACTCAACTTGCCAATACGATGTAGTGTGTCTGGCATGTTCGCAAAGAACAGGGTAAATAATTTTTTGCTATTTTACGTAAATGTAAGACAAAATTTCATTAAAGATTAATGACAATAAGTAATCCTATTGTAAAGACTGTATTCCTGACTGCATACCTGACGACAAAAGATTTTATAATGAAATTATTTAAATTGGTATTTTATTAATTAATATATAATTTAATAATATAATAATAGTTTGTACGTATAATATAATAATATAAAATTTATAATTAATTATAATTAAATTATCATCGCTATGATTGTAAACTATGGGTTATTTAGATTTATTATTATTATTATTATAAACATCAACGGCGAATATTTTCGATTTGTTGATAATAATAGTAATTATGACGGAATCCCTGGAGGTCTTAAATACTATGTTTAATGACCTCAATAGTTCTCAACTAAAATATCTAACGTCTATATTACACCTATACTGGTCATGATTGAGAATACTACGTTCTAAGTTGCCGATAACTTGTCGGACTAAGTAAGTCCAACTTCGACCGAGAAGTCAACCCACGAATCCAACTCGACTGGGCAGTGTTTGGGAAATTACGACAAAACTTCTCATCCAGAATACCTCACAGTTTGAAAACGAAGATTTCCAACCAGTGCGAGTTGCCAGTGATGACTTATAGAATCGAAACGTTACGGACAGGGTTATACTCGGAATTTCTTTGCGTAACAAAATCTATAACCAAGAAACTATGATATCTGCAAAAGAACCAAAGGTACCGACATTATCCGAAGAATAAATAAGCTAAAGTGGCAATGGGCTCGAAGAACCGTCAAGTTTACATAGGTAAACATAGTGTAAAACCCACTAAATGGAGTGACGATCTCAATAGCATTGCAGGGAGTCAGTGGACGCAGATGATTCAGGATCATTCTTTATGGCAGTCTATAAGGGAGGCCTATATCCAGCAGTGGACGACTAACGGCCGAGATAATTATGGTATCTTGTAAAACTAAATTAATAAAAATAATCTCATACTAAATGACTATTTTTATTTACATCATAAAATAAAATGCATAAACTTTTATATAAATAAACCTTATTGTATTCGTTAAATAGTAAACTATGCATCATTGCGGGAAAAGAATTGTTAATAATAAGATCTAGCTATCCCATTACTTCTTTTATAATTGAACGATAATGGAATGGTAATTCCGCGTACAATAGCGCATACACGATATTGTACGCGGTAAAACACATGTGAGTGATTTTTTTTTTATCT